CGAGAGGTAGACAGCTCTTGACTGGTTAACTGACTCACTGCTGGCTAACTCGTAACTCGTAACTGCTGCCTTAGGAACTGTCGTCGGCGGCTGTGTAGTTCTCTTATATAGTCGCAGTATTTGCCTGTTACGCAATAGGTACCGCTGTTGCCTGACGCCGTGTTACGTCACCGCGAGGGGAGGGGCGGAGTGTTGATTTGCCTATTACCATAGTAACGACAGCGTTCCGATGCCGCCACGTACCGCTGGGTTGGGAGGGGGTGTCCTCCATTGCACAACATGTCACACTGCTCCCTCCTTAAGGCTGTTCGTCCCGAATAGGCTAACGGTGTACCCCCGTTCCTTTTCTTCCAAGGATGTGCTTGGTGGGTCTCCTGTTGTTTCGGCTACTACTTGCAGCGGCTATTCTCCGGCCGTTACAACCGCTCCCCTCTTAAGACCAGCTCGTCTCGAGCGGTTCCCTTTTAACTTGCCATAAGATCCAGTTGTATCACATTCATCCATCGCAGTCACCCTTGCTCGGGAGGTCGGTATTTCTACGTTACCGGCTCCTCCCCGATCCGTTGTTTCTCTTTCCGCTTTGGAGGGGTCGACCCCTCCGTAAGGTCCATTCCTTGTTTTGTCGTAATCCAACAGAAGATCCAGCTATTTGCTTCGCGATCTTCCTGCCGACGATCTCGTAGAAAGTCGTCTTCAGAGTACTTCTCCCTCCTAGTGCGATCGCTGTCCTGATCTACACCCTCCGATGGCGTTCTTGGTTGGGTCCTTCAATTGGTTGCTGACTCGTAGTCGCCGTTTCAGACCTCTGTCCTTTATGCCAGTGTTGCATTGAGGGTACTTCCAACATCTATTCTCCTCTGTAATCTTCATTCCGGTGGCGGTCACTTCTTTCCGCGGTTCACAATTTCTTTCAGTCGAAGATTTCCTGAAGATGTTCCTCTTGAGCCTTGTCACTGTTGCACAGCTGGACACCTTCCTGCTGGTTTTCTGCCGCCGTGCCACTTCCACACGGCGGCTCATTACTCTGCGGGCTATGGCCAACTTCTTCTGGGGTCCACAAATTCCCTGTGTCGGATTCTTCATATTTCGTTGCTTGTTTCGGTCCCTACGCCTTTTCTTCTTCGGTTCTCCGATGGGCATTACTTCGGCGTCTTCTACGGGCACCTCTCGTTGTTCTGCCGCCTCAGGTTTCCTGTCAACTGAGGCCGGCTTTTCTTCTACTAGACGTGCCACCATCTTTTCTGGGCAGGCCACCGTCTCTTTTTGGGTAATCGGCATCAATTAATCTTCAGGTTCACTGACCGATATCACTATGGCATTGTCTACAGGGACATCTTGTTGTTTCATTCTTGCTTGGGTTGCTCTCGTCTCCGCGGCAGTATTTTCTCGCCAGGCGGCCATCACTTCTGGCCAGGCTTTTCTATCGGCGTCTATTATCGCCTATAAGCGTTCAAAAAAATTTCCATCTCCATCGTGCAGTAGTATAATGCGTTGAGGCATGTTCAAGTTCGAATGCCACTTCTGACACCAAATTGTCACGTGTTGGGTGTATAACGCGACAAATAACTTCACGCCGCATTGGATATAGCGAATTTTATTTCACACTCGTTCATACAATCGCACAATTTACAATCTGAAAATTACTGCCATTGGCAGTATCACAAATACTCCGACGAAAGATAGACAGCTCTTGACTGGTTAACTGACTCACTGCTGGCTAACTCGTAACTCGTAACTCGTAACTGCTGCCTTAGCTGCTGTCTTCGGCGGCTGTGTAGTTCTCTTAAATAGTCGCAGTATTTGCCTGTTACGTAATGGGTACCGCTGTCGCCTGACGCCGTGTTACGACACCGCGAGGAGAGGGGAGGAGTGTTGTCTTGCCTATTACCATAGTAACGACAGCGTTCCGATGCCGCCACATACCGCTGGGGTGGGAGGGGGTGTCCTCCATTAAGCAACATGTCACAATATATTCAAATGTCTTACTGAAACCTTATTTTGTACTTCTAATTTTGACATTGCAAGCTTTCTGAAGGGAAACCCTAATGAAACAAATTACATATGAAGTAGTCAAAAGAGCATTATAATCTCAGTAATTACATGTTAAAACCAATTAACTTGCCGGGCTGGATAAGGACCTGACACATTGGTTCTAACATTCATATAATAAAATCTCAGTGCAATGTCATAATAGCAGAATCTTAAAATGACATAACATTTCAAAACTTAAACTGACCTTGACAGCTCAATACTGTTCAAGTATGCCACATCATTTGATATATGATGATCATCATTGAGTATGTTACGCAACATGTCATGAAGATGGAAGGTGTGGCATTCCTTATCACATAGCATACATCCAATGACACAATGCAGCACAGTAATGGGTTCTCACATGATGTGCAAACTAGGGCCAGCTGCCCGTGCATCTGATGTCCATGAATCAAGCAAGCATGACTTCTTACTTCTTGACATGGCTGAAGGAGGCTTTGACACATCTGAACAGGTGGTTTCATCACTAGCAATTTACCCTCCTGCATATAGGCCCATTCAAATGAAGATACGTCACAACAAGAAGAGGCACGAATATTACTACCCAGAATTTATTTAGATGACAATCCTCATGCAGGTCACTTACCCCAAGTTTTTCATCAACAGATTCACTGCTTTGACAGGCCCATATGGTCAGGTAACCCGCAAAAACAATAGATGTCCTAACCTTAGCTTTTCCTCCAGTGCCAATAAATTTAAGGCATATTCCTGAATGACCAAATAGCTCTAATCTTTGTTCATTTGTCTCTTTTCTTGTTGTGCATTCAAGACATACAACTGTTCGTTTTTAAATTCAAGACTATTATCACATCAAGCAGTTCTATCTTCTGGGACACAAAGTCATGTAGTCTAGTGGAAGCCAATTAGCATTATGGCAGCATCATGTCACTTCTGTCTTCAGGATTGAAGACTAAGCCAAGCAAACACCCAGTATGACGTAGACAAAAGGCAGAGCAAGTGGCTTGTAGAAATGTTGGGGTATAGTGAAAAAGAAGGGACTTAGAAGCCAAGCTCACAGTTCACATTGACTCTCATTTGGCTTCCTAGGTCCCTTTCATTTTCATTTCTCTGCAGACTACTTACTCTGCTTGCTGCCTGCTTCATGCTGGCTTCTTTCTTGGCTTACTCTCCAACCCCCAGATGGAGGCCATATGTTCTTCAAAAACACTGCTTTCTTTCAATGGACTACACAACATTAATTCCCAGAAGACAGAACTCTCCACAACCACCATTGTGAGAAGCCTCAAATTTTACACATTGCTCCATCCTTCTGACAAACTACATAATGATTCTTTTATAATCTGTGGTTTTCAAGAGCTAATATTATTTACTGCTAACTCTATATCAGATATTCTTCTCCTTTTCAAAGGTCCCCCATGTATTATGGTTCCTGTTGCATGCTGTTCAATTTAATTTTTTGTAGAAATTCTTTCTATAGCAAATGCTGTCATTATATATTTATTATTCATAATAAATTCCCTTATTAAAATCTCAAGATTGAGTTTCATATAATGTAGTATGACTAAATTAATCTTAAAATCTGACAAAAATTATCTCTATAATACAGGAAAAAAAACTTCAGCCATAGGAAATTTTTCATCATGACACCAACCACCCAGTAATGTAAAAAAAGTGCTCTCTGCCTTGAAGACAGTTGTTCAATGCAGAGTGAAGCACTATAGCAAACTAACAAATCTATAACTTTCACTAGTGGCTTGAGTATGAATACTATTTTTTTAATTGCTAGTGGGGTGGGACTAAGTCCCTTGTACTGCGGCCACTTCTGGCCTATTGTACCAGCCGCAGATGATAGGTGAGGGTGATTGTGGAGCAATTGTTGGAATTAAGATTGGCAGGGGAAACTGAAGTACTCAGAGAAAACCTGCCCCAACGCCACTTTGTCTACCACAAATCCCACTTGACCAGAGCCCGGGATCGAACCCGGGCCGCCACGTGGGAAGCCAGCGACTAACCGCTTGACCTATGGCGTGGCCACAGTATGAATACTAAGTCATTATTATTCAGCACACTTCCAGACCTTGAAACTGGATGGGAACAAAATATCATTTCCACGTTACCTTTCTTCATTTTGCTTTAAAGCAAAATGGATAGCTCTCAGTGCAATAGTGAAGGAAATATTGAAGGAAAATAACCACCAACCTAGTACGAGCTAATATTGTCATGTGTCCGGGTATCCGTGACAAAAACTGAATGGGGTACGAATTTGGTGAAGCTTTTATTGGACAAGTTGTTCACATTTACAACTACAATCACTCTGAAATGTCTTCCAAATGATGCGACCTGACTAGGCCGTTGGCTCTCACATTTCATCTTCAAAGGCTATTCAATCTTCCACCTCTATTCTCGGTGAAGTGTCGTTGCTGTTAGTCCTTGGCGCTGCTGGTTCCTTCTGTTCCCATCTCTGCTCCATTCGCCACTGATCTAGTTTCTGCTGATCTCACTGGTTCTCAGTTCCCCTGTGCTCTCCCTATTCTGTGTTCTGGTTGATCTCTTATATTCCACAGTCACATACACTAGAAGACAATTTCTTGAAGGCTTTTCATTGCAGCAGGAACTGCAGTAGCTCTGGCTTTCATTCCCATCATAATTTCTGTCAAGGTAGGCACTGTACCGTTTACGTGTTTACAATTGCCGCCTACGCAATGAGATATTCTCTGTTCCTTGTTGTGTGGGAAACACAGCTACTGAGCCATTGTCTAGCAATGGACATCTCTGTATGTGCTGTCTCAGAAATGTGTTTTAACAAGCCATTATCTAGCAATGGATGCCCGCAGATATAGATAATCCAGCTTTTAGGCAGCATGCCACAATACCATATTCTCCTACTTATTAATGAATTAGTTTACATGAAGCAATATTCCTTAATTTTTAATAGAGTACCATAAATTTAATTAATATACATACAAGAAAATATATCTTTAACTTACCACCTTCAAGAGTTCTCAGAGTGTCTGTAGAAATTGTGTTATTACCATATATCACCATCCACGTATAATTTGTATATGGTTTAAGCCCTGTCATTTGAAAAGGCAGAGATGACACACTCTTTCTGATATGAGAAGTACTTCCTACTTCTTCAACATCTAAGAAGTACGAACTTATGTGACAGGGGTGATCAGGTTCCTGAAAATGTGTAATTTAATTAACCTTAAAATTTCAAAGAACTAGACTATATATTCTAACAAAAACATGCCATATTGTAAACAAGGACAGTTTGCTTTAAAAAATAAAACAGTGAAACCTGACACACCACTTTTAAAAATAAAGTTTAAGGTATAACATACAAGAATAGAATAGCACACACATTTATCAAATGTGTAATCTGTGGTTTTGTGATATCTTACTGGCCTTGATATTTGTTACATATATGAATATGTATGACAATGAAAAACTTCAAAGAACATTTGTAAATTGTAATGGGATCTGTTTTGTGGAATGTGTAATGTTTTGTCCAGTGAACACTTTCAGTGAATAATTATAACATTGAATAAGTTTGTTATTTATATTAGACCAATTCATATCACAATTAAAATTTACTTGAAAGCTTTAATGAATGCTTCCAGAACCAAATTTCATCGAAATCTATTGAGTTTCTTCAGAGATTAAACATGTAAGTGAGCAGAAAAATGGATATATATGACATCCCCAAATTATTTTCATCTTATGCACTTTGTACAAAAATAACAGAAATGGACTGGTGGACAACTGAAAATACTCGAACTTGGAATCATGTAGCAGAAACTCTTCAAAATATCCAAAACGTTGTAAACAAGTTGTTGCATGTAAATTAGATTTGTAAAATATGCGCAACTTTATATAAATATTTTGTATATGAAATGTTATTTTCATAAATATTTACATGCAAGTTTACTGGAGCATTTCATTACTTACAATTTTCAATATATAACAAATTGTGTGACTTCAGAAAATCTTAAACATGGGTGGACTACGTAAAATTGTAGCTTATTTTCTTCTCTTCTATATCAGCTACTTACATTACATCCTATGCTTACGTAACTACTAAACAGATGTCAGTACACTGGCCCACAGGCTGGACAATCCTTCACACAGTTTTGTGCAGCCAACTAAATGTGCAACACATCAACAAACATTTGAAAGAACTGAGTCACTATTTTCAGTTTGAATAAGAAAAATGCATTATCTCCTGAAATCTCACTATTTCCTTCGCCCACGTGCCTCAGTAAATTCTATCCATCTCTGACATAAGGTGATATTTTATTTTTTAATTATTTCACTGCAGACTTAAGCTGAAAACTGACAGACGAAATTATGTGCTGAAATTCAAGATAAGACAAGGGTAAAGTTATCCTTGCACTTAATTAATTAACCACCATGCCATGAAGGTGTATAGGGGAATGAAGGTATAGCTCCACCATTCTTGCCTTTGCACGACATGGATGCAAGTGGTCCCATTGGTTAGGAGGCTATGCACGCCCCAGACCGGGTCTGATATTTTGGAGTAGAAAACAAACCCTTGCTCCTGCCCGGAATTTACTCCAGTTGTCCAGTCTCTAGCCTATTGCTGCACTGACTGCAATTCCAGCTGCAATTCAAGATATTTAACAAAACTCATTCACATCTGTTTTCCTAACAGTTCTACAAAAGTCCATGTTATTAAAAAGCTTTCAGCAACTTCAAATCATATGAATGAATAAAGGAACATGAAATCCTACAGGATGCATTAGTCACTTAAGTGTCACACTTAATTTGTAATTATAATGTTAATTTTGTATGAAATGATTACATAACATTCATTCTTCAATGCAGCTATATTAATTATGATGCAACCCATTTTTATGCGCAAAAGCCATTGTGGGAAATGGAAGTTTTAAAGCTAGATTCCCATGTACATTTATTAGCCCACTTCACTTATTTTACTTGTATAAGGAGAGGAAGGCTTATAGCATCATTATATCTATGAGTGAACACATCCCTTCAAGTGTGAAGTCACTCCTTAATAACTTCTGAAGCAACTGGCTCAGTTTCATCAAACTCAGTATGAACCTCATGAAACAGGAAAATACCTTCAACTCTGTACTTTTCAATTTCCTACCTGCTACATCAAATGTGGTGCTGACTAAAAGAATCTATAAAATGTGTCGCTAATGCAAACACCAGTGTACCAACATAATATTCTGAAATGTTGTGTTAAGAGATTTTTATAATTTATCAAACTTCCCTTCAAGTGACTTTTTTTTTCAGAATGTTAAACAACATGCCAGCCAAGCAGAATAAAAATTATTGCCTGAGTTTAGATTCTCATGGCTGTGACTATGAAGATTACTCTCTTTTGGAATGTGACAACATGTAGTTTGATATACACATACATGTATCAGTGATTTCGACGAACCTGTTACCTCCTTCCTCAGGCTAGAAAAAATAAAGGTTGTTCTTCTACTCTAAAGGAGAAGGGAGTCAATTCCTCTGAAACATTGGTTCTTATCTACGAACAACATGGTGTCACATTTCAGAAGAGAGCCATCTTCAATATTTAGTGTCAATATGAATGTGACAACTAATGAAGCATTGGAGCTAGGCATATGAAATTTTGTATTACGATACACATAAATTAACCGACAGATTTTGTACAATATTCTTATACCTAATATTTAGGAATATGGCAAAGGTCCAAATCATTGATGTGATGTCCTGCAAAGCTAAGTAAGTAATTTTTCTAACGAAAAATACATATACTCATTTATCACTGGTTTATATTATTCACCATGTGCAGCAAAACAAACCTTGGTTTGTCTACATATCAGTACAACACAGGCAGCCAATCAAAACAGAGATCTAGACATAAACACAAACATATTTTTGGCAGGTACCAATGAATCTGACCTCCCATTGGCCATCAAAGGAGTCACCCGATGCCTGGTTCACTTAATGTTTCTATCTATTACAGAGAAGAGGCTGTAAAAAATCAAAAGTATTTCCAGAAGAGTTTTAAACCACTAGGATGGGGATTCATGGTCTCTTGTACACAGAAATCTGAGACTAGTGTAATCTGGAACTTCTTCTGTAAAGAAACTTTCTCAAAAGAAGAGCTTTTGCAAGCAGGAAGGGCTTTAGTTTTCAATGTGTGTAAGGTTTTGGTGAAATGAAATACTGATGTCTGAAATTACTGACACAGAGAAGGAAGTTAAATACACAGAATAATATCACCAAGTAGATTAGTTACTTCAGTAAAGGACCACAAATCTACAGATGTCTAAATTGCTCCATAAAATAATCTGGAAGACAGAACATCTAAAAATGAGACAGATGAATCACTTTTTAAGATCATAACCATGAGAGAGGTGCTGAGTCTTCAATTCAACAATAGTGTTAAATCAATTTGATGTGGATAGAAAACATGTTACGTAAGTAGAAATGTGGAAATACTCATACATTCCTTGTGAAATAGGGTCTCTTTGGCACTCACTTCCTTCATCATCTTTGCAACTACTGCATAGGGTACAAGTACTTAGTGGTACTTTGGAAAGCTAGGTACGTTACTCTAAAGGAATTGCTTATATTTAGATGTTTGGTAAATTTCAGGCATTAAGTATGCAATTATTGCTCTACATTGCTATGACTAAAACACTCTAGGAACTATTTTGTTACTATTCCCAGCAGAAACTGATAATATGTTACACATTTGACTTTAACCTACCTTCCAATTTACTGTGATACTTTGGCTTGAAGCTATCACATCTACTTTCACAGAATCTGTAAATAGATTATATTAATTATCATTCATACATCATCACATAGTATCCTTTCATTTATTCTCAAGTTTGTCAAATGTTTCAACTTACAGTTACATGTTGTGTTACACACTGCATATTGTACATCAGTGCCATTGTAACCAGCCCCCGTCTCATCAATTAGAACAACTCGTACTGCATAGCTAGATGCTGGTTCTAAACCATGTATAAGTTGTTCTTCACCACTGTATTGATTAACTGTAGTCCACCCTCTGTTCTGAGTAAGAATTTCTGATGACTGAAAAGACATTCAGAATGAAGAATTTTTGTCCACATTACAATTGTTTATGAGGTTTAATTTGTATGACAATTATTATTTCACTGGTAAATCTAACACACACACACACACACACACAGGTATATCATACGTATCGGAAAATTATGACCTATTTGAATGGGAGATAGTCTTTGAACTTGATATATATATATATAGTCTTCAGTTCACCTCTCTATGTAGTTCCTGGTTCAACCACTCCTATTTCATGTCCTCCCATTACTATATGACATGTTTTGGTCTCACAAGAACCATCCTGAGATATGTATTTTGTCGCCTTAGATATGTTAAAAAACTGCTTCCATTATAAGTCAGTGGAACTATTACTGAGAATTTGTTACACTAGAGACAAAAACCCTTGCACCATACATGTTTTGTCTTGCCGATACCAGAACTTGTCTTTGATATAAGAAGCCCTACATCTTCATTAACACATTCATAAGGAATAAGTTTGCTGAACTTAATCATATATAATAATTGCCTTATAATTTAGAAATGTAATGTTCTGTGTCTGTCTCCGTGTGTTTGTGCACACAGGTGTGTGCGAATTCTATTACTTACCACATACTGCAGCTGATAAATTACAGGGGGAATGTCTCCGTCGTAGTCTAAGTCCAATTTTCTCACAGTTATTGTAGTTGGAGTACTTGAAATGCAAGTTGGTGTTTCTTTAAGTACTGGATATTCTATAGAACAAAGACAGCATTATCAGTAACACAGACATATTTACAAGAGATTATAATCATGTATTAATTCTTTTAAATATCTGAATGTTTGAATAAGCAGAAGTTGTTAAAAGTGTGCAAGGGGAACAGCTTCAGGCCTTCTGCAGCTTGCTACATAGGTCTGGATTATCTGGTACTGTTCCCAGTTATGCCAGCATCCTTTGTGAATCTGACTAGCACATCCCCAATTTCTGATAGTTGCAGTTGGCCTACTTTACTGATAATTGTTACAAGTCTTAAAGACAACAAATGAAGAATGAACAGTGTATGCTACAAATGCTTCCCTTCCAATACACATATAAAATAACATATTTCCTGCCTCAATCCATGATTCCTGCATATTTGATTACAAGGCATTATTCTGAATCTTGATCAGAAATTGATCCAGTCTACATGTCACTAGTCATTGTACTGTTTTGTTCCTCAGCATAAGATAAAGGAGTTCACAAAACTGGAAACAGACCTCCCTATATACATTTATTCACTCTGGTCACACATAAGCAAGCTTTGGGTATTGGGCTGATGGATGTAGACATCAAAAACACTGTTATTTCTATCAATGTAGCTGTCACATGCGAAGATAAAAAAAATTATCATCAGGAGGTGATGGATAGAGGATGTCAGGTTGCGGATGGAGGAGACACCCTCCAGGTATGGAGGGAAGATGCGAATATATTGTGACATGGATCACCCCTACCTCCCCAGCGGTACGTGGCGGTAACGTAACGCTCGCGTTACTACGGTAATAGGCGAGTTCCCGCCCCGCCAGTCCCCTCCGCGGTGACGTAACGTGTAACGCTACGTACCCGTAATCAACTTCCTACTGTGACGTGGCACTCATTACGCAACCGGCAAGCACTGCAGCTATATAAGTGAGCTGCACAGCTGGTACCAGTCAGTTCTACTGTAGGAGTCTGCGACTTCAGTTGTACTGAAGGCATTTCCGAGTTGTACTGTGACAGCCGAGGCAAGTTATAAAGTAACAGTCGCCGAGTGTGTTATCAACAGTTCTCCAGTCAGCCGACTACAGTTGGAGTATAGCAGCCGTCGCGGAAAGAAGAACCGGACGTGTGTGTGATTGTGTAATTGGGAGCGTGTGATACAGTGATACACAGCTCCCCTACTGTAAACGTGTAGACTGCTGAAGACAGAGTGAACTGATTTGCGCATAGGGTTATAAAGCGTGAAACCCCGCAACAGTGGTAACAGATTAATGCGCTTAGGGTTATAAAGTGTGAAACCCCGCAACTGTGTGATAATTAATTGTAGCCATTATTTGAAGATTGTTAAATAAACCAATTAACCATCTCTACGGCGTCTTCAGTAACGAAACACGTTACAATATTTATTAAGCAGTCGCGGACAGCCGACAAGGGGTGGTCCTCCGGCTTAGGGGTTCGGCGTGGAGCTAGAAACACCTCGCCATAAAATGAACTTGTTACAAAAATTCTTGGGCCTGGACATAATTAGAATGATCAAGTCAAGGAGGATAAGGTGGGCAGGTCATGTAGGACGAATGGGGGAGAAGAAGAATGCTTATAGGATATTGGTGGGAAAGCCAGAAGGAAAGAGCCACTGGGAAGACCAAGGTATAGGTGGGTGGACAATATTAAAATGGATCTGAGAGAGAGAGGATGGGATGGTATGGATTGGATTGATCTGGCTCAGGATAGGGACTAGTTGAGGGCTCTTGTGAAGACAGTGATGAAACTTCAGTTTCCATAAAATGCTGGGAAATTCTTGAGTAGCTGCAGATTTGGCTTCTCTTCAAGTAGGGCTCAGCTCCATAAGTAAGTATATATATAATGATGATGAACACTGATATTGTGAGTTAAACTGTATTTTATTCTTTATACTCATAAAATTATTTGTTACGATAATTAGGACTTGAATATTAACTTTAATATTTTTTTATCTATTATGAAACAAAAGCTCAACACATGACACCAATTTGATATGTCTTGCTTCCTTTTTTTTTCATTGACTAATCAACCTTTATTTAACAATGCTGTTTCACATGAAAGTGTCATGGAGATATGACCACATAAATACTGAGCCACTTATGATTAAAAAAATCTTCTTATTCATCTAGAGAGGGTGATAAACTAAGGACAGGAAGAAACTAATATGCTTGAGACTTTAACTGCATACCTTCTAAATGAAAGTGTAGAGTATTTATTATAGCTTAACCAACCTGTTCCACTGTCCATTTTTTTCCTCTCCATATATCTTGTGACATTCAGCCTCATACCACCTAACTAATTTACTGTGATCATCTTCTCCAATTAATGTGTGCAATTTTAAACATAAAATAAATTTGTGGTGGTGGGGGGTGGTAATACGATAGCTGTAGCTACTGAATACTATCTCCAATGAAGAGTCACTGTATCTCAAAGACATGTAATGTATTGTGTCAGTATAAGAGAGTAGAAATCTGATATCAGTGTGTGCTGGAACCATCACTCATACAAAATGATGAAATTTAATTTACAGCTTCCTCAGTTCTGTTTCTTTGTATATGACATAAGAACCAGATCTAACTAAAGTGAACAAGCTCTGTGCACCTCCTACCATGTGGTACTCAGAAATATGATCACTTGTAACTCTTTTAAGTTCCTCACTTTATTATATATATATATATATATAAACGGCTTTTGAGTTTACTAAAATTATGAGCACATGATCATCAGAAGACTGATGTCTGAACACTGCATTTTAAAACTAAGTACATCTACTTTCCAAAATAATCTGAATATGCATATTGTACTCACTTTTCTTGCACATTGGGGGACTGTACCTACTCTCACAGCCATATGCACATCTGCCGTTAGTCTTGCTACAAAACACCTGTTTTGAACAGTATCCACATTCTTCCTTACAATTAATACCAAACAAACCATTTGCACAACCTGAAAAATAAAATACATATTTTTCAAGGAATGTTGTGATCAAGAAGTGGTAACCAGTACACACAGATGTACGATTGGAGGTTCTCACAGCGGTGGTTATAAAGAGAAGTATCTTCTGGGATATAACACTGTGTAATCCGAAGGTCAAGCGAAATTTTGCCTACATCTTTAGGTTCAAAGAATAAGCGAAGCAAGAAAAAGCGTAACAGCAGGTAGCACACAGATACTCTTTGTCCATATGTGCCAAAAAAGCAATTAAGGAACTTTTCCTTTTTTAACATAAAAATTCTTCAAGACTTGGTCCTTGAACTATGTGTTCTTCTGTTGACTTTTAGATTTTTTTAGAAGAAATACAGTATGTGCCAAAAATTCAGTGCTGAAACTCATATATCTCAAAAGCACATGTGCATTTGTCAACAGGGCATAATTCCAGCCGCACGTGTTCCCAGTAGTGAAAAGGAAGTTGTGTTGTGCAGTTGTTGTTGGAAATGGGTCTCTCGATGGAGGAAAAAGTATTCATAGTTGAGTATTATTTCCGCTCATACAGAAGTGGTCGCCAGACAACTGGCTTCCTTGGTTTTGGGTGGCCAGATGTTATCGTTCAGAAACCACTACATAGTACACATGTGACGATATGGAGTGCCGTCTCAGCACACAGTATATTAGGACCCTATTTCATTGAGGATGAGGAAGTAAATGCTTTTACAGTCACCCAAGAACACTACAGGTAAGTGGTGATCGGACCATTACTTCAGGATTTGAGAAGGTTCTGTCGTGCAAGGGGCCTTCACATGAAGACAGTGGTATCAACAGGACATCTTTTCATTTCAGTACTATATATTTTGGGGCATACTGTATTTCCCTAGAGGATGTTTCTTTACTGATTGAAAAGATCCAATGAATTAGTCACAGACACAGTGTTCTCTAACATTACTTTATTTCCTTAAGGAAAGAATTGAAAATGTTTATATATTTTATTAATGAGGGATATAGAAAGCATTACTTATACAGAAAGTCTTCATAGATAAGCTTTTTTTTTTCCTTGGCACTACAGCCCCAGTGAGCCTAGGCCCACCTCCATGAACTTCTCCATTCACTTCGGTTTTTCTAGATCTTACACATTCGGTAGGACTCCTTGGGTGGGTGATCAGCTCATCACAAGGCCTCTACCTGTGCACAAACACAGAAAAACGCACACACACAAACTAAACATCCATGCCCTGAGTGGGATTCGAACCCACGATTCCGGTTTCCAAGCGAGCGAAGACAGTACATGCCTTAGACCACTCGGCTACCGTGACCGGCATATAAGCTCTTATTCATACTTATTTACTGAAACATATTGATTTCTTTATACATTAAAAAGATGGCAAGTGGACATAAGAAGTGAGGGATGTGTTCCCAAAGCAGGTGAAAAATACTTACTGATTAAGCAGTTGGAACCACGGAATCCAGGATTACAGAAGCAGACATTGCTGTTATGTGTTTGTTTGCAGAAAACAGCACCACTACCACTGTGTACAAGTTTATTAAATGGGAATTTATCATGGCTCAGCATGCAGTTGGGTCCACAATCTGAATGACAAAGACACATATTACAATGACTGCTAGTGGTCAGACTTCTTAAAACAGAGTACAGGCAGACTGCATGACATACCTTAGATTATCAGCTGTTACAAATACTATCGGTAATATATTCCTCTTGCTTATTAATTATCAAATTTATCACAAACAATTCATTACATAAATGCTTTAATATTAAAGTACTTTTCCCTGAACATGTGACACAATTTTTGTCTAAAATAATTCTCATACCCGCAAGTGTGGATCAAGAGATAAATAAAGCATTCTTTAAGCCGCAGAGTAAAGAGAGTGATTTTACCAAGCAAAGTAAATCAATATATACTTCTATTTTAATGATATCTCTGGATATATAAACACTTGTAACTACCACTGCTTCTGAAACTAATCAAGGAACTGCAACTGTATTCCTTACCTGTTATCTAAAATAACTTCTGTTTATTCTTAAGGTGAGGTGAGACTGAATTCCGTGCATTTGGGCTATTAATGGCTAGTTTTACCAAGCCGAGATGATGGATGAGAGAAGTGGAATATTTTGTGAAATGAGAGTGACACAGAAAACCAAAGTATGCAGAGAAAACCTGCCCCAGGTCCATGTTTTCCGTCAGAAGTCCCAAACGAATTAACCTGGAATTGAAGTGGCCATGGCTACCACTGTAAGAAGTCAGCAGCTAACACCTAAACCCACTGGTTACCTGTTATCAAAGAATTATATTAACTTGAGCAGAATTCAGTGCCAAATTACTTTACCTGAGAAGGTTGTGTTTGTCTTTTGAAGAGTGACTGCTATACTTGGATACTTCAGTGGGTGACAGGATAAGTCTCTTGCTACAGACTCTGTGGATACTCGAAAATCACCTGTGGATACTCGAAAATCACCTGTCAAAATGGAAGTATCAGGGTAGTCCAGTGCTATGTGGATGACAAATGTACAAGGGTATTAATAAGGTGGAAGATGGGAAGAAATTACCTCCACTATTTCTTGGGATGTATGTGCCAGCTCTGAGGATTGTAAAAATGAGAAATTTCAAATACCGAAACATGAAATATTAATGCATATTTGTGGAGAAATAAAATAATTTCCCTTGCAAATCAATAATTAAATTTATTAATATATGAGGGCAAGAAACAGGGACATAACATTTACAGTGGTGAAAGGTGAATGGTCTCAACAAAACAAGAGCAACAGGAAACAGAATTACAGGCTTCATTCGGATAGAGTATCTAATACAAAAGAACAGTTATGGACAACATACCAGGCTAATTAGTGTATAATAAATAAACAAATATATGCATGACTGAAGTTGCAATCCCAGTTCGCAGTAATGTGCATAAAATGTGTACAAGGGGGGAAAAAATCTGAACACATGAAATGAAACGCATGTGGAACTTGGGAGGAGATAATTAACTATCTACATAACTAGCCAATAAAACATTTAACTCCACAGTACACAGTCCTTTTTGAGAAGGCCAGCTAGCTACAAAAATTAATAAATTTTTTAACCCTTCAATACTACATGTTCATCAGAGCCGGCCACAGGACCCTAGAGCGAGGCAGATATACTTGCTCGGCACCCTCACTCCAAATATTAAAAGGCCAACCTATTATTATTCTCTAAACCATGACTGGGTCTTCCTTTCAAATTTCCAGACCAAAATTTTGATTTACATTGTGGTCTTCTCAAGGTCTGACACCCACTTATAGTCTGTTAGAGGGGTGCCAACGTTATGAAGGAAAATACAGCATCCATCCTTCAAAACTGAAGTTGAAGTCACCACCTTCCTCCAGAATTTTGGTACCATTCTAATGGGCTAGAACACTGTGTCTCATTTATTTGTATATTATCGTGCTGTCAGGAATTCTGGATATATTGTGTTGAAACAGCTCATCCCCACAAGACACAAGAAGAACCTTCTCCCCTACAAAACAAATCAAACAAATGTGTTTCTCTTTTCCTCAGTAATACTTCATGTCCTATATATTTCATTCCCATTCAAGTAAAAAAGTAAAGCTATCCCTGTACCAGGACATGAAGGCACATAGGGTTGTGAGACGTTGAGGTTCCCACATTATCTAGACCAGCGATGGCCAACTGGTGGCCCGCGGGCCGGATACTTGATTTACTCCAAGTCTTAGGTCTATTTTCAAAAATCTTAACTTCACAGCTGTATTGGCATAGAATTCAGTTTTTAATAGGACGTTTCATTAGCTTACAGCGTTTTGCAATTGACTGTATACGATCTCACCGAGTTGGACAGTTCAAACAGTTTTCTAATAACTGTGTTCATGTCATGGAAATTCCAAGTCCCCCAACCCTACTTCTGTAGGGAGATGACAATGAAGGGAAGACCGTAGTGGTGAAGGATTTATGACACCTTCAAAATAGTAACCATTCCCAGCTTGCTCGCGGGGATGGGATATTTACCGTTTCTCTCGGCATCCTGGCCTTTGTTAAGTGCCAGTTTTAGCAGAAATGTCCCAGTTAGTGCGATTTTAGAAAGTGAAGTGCGATTACGGAGTCGGAGTGTAGAACTGTTTTCCAATTAAAATTGTGTTTGAAGTTACTGTAAGTGATACAGCATGTCAAATAGTAAATTAAGAAAAGTTGATAGTGAAAATAGGGCGTTCAAATCTGAGTGGGAACATGACTACTTTTTATATTAAATAAAGAGTACAACATAAAGAAGCATTACATGACAAATCATAAACAGAAGTTCGGAAAACACTCTTGTGAATCAAGGAAAGTAGTCTGCGATCAGTTAAAGAAAAAACTTTTCCAGCAGAAATCTCTTTTTACCAATGAAACAAAACAACAAGAAGAAGCTTTGCTGGCTTCTTATTTCGTGACATATGAATTAATGAAAGCTAAAAAAGCGTTAAGTGATGGTGAATTAATTAAGAACTGTGCGATAAAGATGGCAGAAGCTTTCAATGAAAATAAGGTAGGAAACAAATTTCAAACAGTGCCCCTTTCAAAACAGACTGTTACTAGGAGGCTGGAAGATATTAGCAACCAGATATCTAATAATGTGAAAGACATTATCGCTAATTGTTCCTATTTCTCAATTGCTCTCGACGAAAGCACAGATGTTTCGGATACTAATCAGTTACTGATATTTGTTTGTGCAATTAAGGAAGATTTTACAATTTTCGAAGAGTTGTTAAAATTATGCTCTTTACACAGCACAGCTAGAGGTGTCGATATTTGTAACGCCGTTAAGAGTGCAGTGGAGGAATTCGGTGGTTCTGAAAAATTGTCCTCCATAGTAACAGATGGCGCTAAATCAATGACAGGGACAATAAGCGGTTTTGTTGGATTTTTAAGACAGAATCAAATTACTGTACCTACCTTGCATTGTATTATACATCAGGAGGCTCCATGTGCCAAATCAATTAAACTGTCTACCACCATGGCTACTGTCACAAAAATTACTAATTTGATCAGAGGAAGAAATCGATCACTCACTCACAGAAAATTTCTGACCCTCTTGGAAGAAATGGATTCTGCTTACGGGGACCTGCTTCTGCACACTGAAGTAAGATGATTAAGCCGTGGGAAATGTCTGGAAC